GAAGTCCTCAAATGTCCCCTTTAGATTTACAATCGATCTACTCATGCAGCGGAGCAGTCATCTATGTGCAGGATGTAAACTTACTCTCTTCGGAAGCGGCGGATACTTGGATGGTCTTCACAATGCCCCTCTAATTTTGGCACCGAGGATCTTACTATTTCATTTGCTGGTGGAGATCACTGCTCGACTGTAAGCAAAAAAGAAAAAAACTCATACCTGCTTGACTGAAGTTTAATGGAACGTGTTGGCCTATTAGACTTAACTTCAAACTTGTCAAAACACGGTTTGTTCCTTGTCGATGATAAAACCGGACTTAAGTATAGCAACCTAATTTTTTACACTAGAATCTAATTTTACCTGTACCTCAAAGCAGCATGACCTCACAACTTTATCTTCAGCTCATTTGGGTTTTTTCATGTTTGTGATTCTGTGGAGGTTTGCAAAATCTGGTAGAGGAATTTGTTCCCGACTCTAGCATTGAAGGTGTCGAAGACGAGTTCCAGATTTTTTGCAGTGCATTTGTATTCTAAGTTCCTATCATGTATTGATAAATTATTCTGGAGGGACCTAGTGTTTTGGATTCTAGATTAAAATGGAGCTGACTCGCTTACCAAGATTTGCAGGCACACCTCCCGGCGAGGACATTTATGAAACATACAAGAACGATTCTCTTGAACCTTCATAGAAAGGCCCCCGCATCAATCTTACAGTTTCAACAGTCCTGCAGCAGGATACGATTTTTTCCTCAGCAAAAAATGTTCTCAAAGGAATTCCCACAGACATAGCAGAAGGAACAAGACTTAAGAAAGGATATGGTATCTAGTCCGAGTCCCAAGGATCCCATCACAACAGTCCAATGAGAGTTTCATCACTCTAAACAGCGTACCGTGGTGGAATTCACCCAACAACTGAGTAACTTGTTCACTCATATGTCGGTGAGGAATGCAATATCTCTTGTGCTTCGCAACCCACAAGCTCCACAATGCCTGGAGAGGCGATGATTCAAGACAGGGAGTCGACTTCATCGAGCAAGAGAGATTCGCAGCGGGTTCGTTTATGGAGGGGCTTGATACACAGTGATTATTGTCCATCTAAGAAGACCCACATGTATGCATTGTTGGCGAGTATTCTCTTCGTCGGTTCAGTCTGCTTTGTGGTCATGAGTAGTCTCGGTCCAAATTACATGAATAGTCGGATCCAAGGTCTTTCGGTGTCACCTACTGGTGACATTCCATCTTACTCAAAGACCTCAAAGCGTGACGTTTCAGGCAATGCTAATGCAGCAGGAGGAATGGACATCAGTGCACAAATTCAGAAGGCCGTCATCATTGATGTCAATGCATCTGCCCCACCTGGACAGCTACTATTGAAAGATCCTGTGTGCTATCAAAACATGTCAGTAACATGGCATCAACTGAGTGACGAGCAGCTTCGACAGAAGGCGTCCGAGGCCCCTCTCCAGTCTAGAGGATCAAAAATTGCTTTCATGTTCATTACCAAGGGTCCCATGCCTTTCGCTTCTATGTGGGAACGTTATTTCTGTGGCCACGAGAATCAATATTCAATTTTTTTACACGCTCATCCAGACTATGTCCCATCACTCAACCCTGCATCGCCCTTCTTCGGCCGGTTTATCCCCAGCCAGGTTTGGACACTCACAATTTATTATCGTCATGGTCCTGTATAATAAGAGTCATTATAAATTATTGGTTGAAACAAGGCCCCTGTGTTTGCAAAGCTTTCGTCAGTAATCTGCATCTTATTTCGATTGTCAGCACATTTGGAATCTTCGGTTCAAACAATGATATTTCATCTCTGAAAAAGACGTGAATGAAATTGTGGCTGGTTTATAAATTTACAACTTACGAAAGGATCACTTGTGTGAATTTAGGAGGCCGAATGGGGCAAAGTTTCGCTGCAAGAAGCAGAGAATCGGCTGCTATTCAATGCAATCCTTGATGAAACCAACAGCTGGTTCGTCCTCTTGTCGGAATCATGCATTCCTGTAGAAAACTTTCCAAATTCATACAGGCACATCACGGAATCTCAGCAAAACTTTATCATGGCATTCCAAGAGTCAACGATTTTGCACAAAACTCGGCTTTACAGAGGGAAACACAAGCAGATGGCACCAGAGGTAGTGGTGGACAACTTCCGAAAAGGCAGTCAATGGTTCCAGATCAACAGGGATCTAGCACTTCTGGTGCCTAACGACACGATGTTCTACAACAAGTTCGTAAATTATTTTTGCCAACCCCACCCTGTCTGCTACATAGATGAGCATTACTTACCAACACTATTCTTTAGCTCGCGATCAGAGACTCTCGCTTTCAGGACACTCACGTATTTTGAGTTTCCACACCATGGACCACACCCAACAAAATGGGACAAAACTAATACAAACGCTGGGCTGATTAAGTGGATCAGAGAAGGTCATAGTTGTAGCTACAATGGCCTACCGACAAATAGGTGTTACATGTTCGCAAGGAAGTTTGATCTGAACGCCTTGCCAAATTTGCTTGAGCTTGCCCATGACATCATGGGTATTCCATGATTCTAAATTCCAGAAACTGTTACTCATGATTAAGGTTAATTTCAGAACCCGTCTAACCTTGAAGAGGCAATTTACTTTTATGGTAAATATTTGTAAGCTCAGATGAGAGAATTGTCAAATTTCCAGAGTTGGAGCCGCAATTGAGTGAGAAAACGAATCATCAGGCTCACAATTTTACAGCCCCACATTCCTGTCCCAATCGCCTGCTTTGCTACAGGTATCTGGAGCTGGATACCTTCACGGCGGGAACGTGTGTGTGATTTCAATGGTCAACATAAGCAGCACAGATCTACACATTGGCCTCTGCACAGGAATCCAACAAGATTGAGATACATTCGCCACACCATAAAGAATCATGTGATATGCGTGGAGGTTGTAAATCATAATTTAGAAACCAAGAAGGTATTCCTCGAAGTCACAAACCACAACATTCGCAGAAACGTCTAGAGTTCCCCGTAGTTTGGTTAGAACTATCTTGTCTTACTTCGGTGATGTTCATTTAACCGTATTGTAGCCTGAGCAGCAGCACAGCCAATGGATCCTTTTTTTACTTTTGAAAGAATTCTTTCTCATTCTGAGTTAATGACTTCTAAGATATTTGTCATGAGAACGCCAGACAACTGGATTCGTCACAATGTGGATGCACCATATGAAGTAACGTACCTGAACATTAGTTATCCATTGTTCATTTATTTATTAATTTAGTTTTGAAACATCAATGTTGGTCGTTACATCCGAGATAGACAAGTTTAGGGATTTTACATCTCGGATTAAAACCACCAATCTCTCGGTACCAAGTTACCACCCTTAGGTTACTTAAGGCCATTGCGGACCTTGTCTGACAAAACAAAATTCAGGTGTCCATGGCGTGCAACTTCTAGTGAATCAATTGAGTGTTCGAGAGTGACAAGATGAAAGGTTACTGGAATGAAAAAAGAAAAGGATCCTATTCTTCTGCATTCTGACAACTTGTCTGGCTGCTTCTCTGTCGTGATAGCAAGACATATTTGATTTCTTGCCTAAAACAGCCCGCGACTACACATACATAGCTGCACTTACCTTTGCATTGTACCTCAAAAGCAGCCGACAGCCTTACTAGACGCCTAAGGTTTCAGGGACGTGTACCAATGACGAGCAACAGAACACTGAAAATGAGGTTTATTACTGTGGAAAGTAAGCAACCACAACACGCCACCACCTACCTGCTCGCCAAATGTTCTTTACTGTAGAGTTACACAAGTGAAAAGTTGGAAGAAAGATTAGACGCTCAAGAACTCTATCATCTGTCAAAAACAGGTCGGCATTCCTGGTCGAATGTGTATGCAATAACTTACAGCGTGAAATCACAAACGTTGCAGATAAAAGTAGCCAGATTCCCAGCACTAGTGTTGAGTTCAAAACAATTACATCACCGACCTCTATACAAGCCCCTACAGCTGCGAGAAATCCAAGCTCCACATACCATTTGATAAAATCTGGCAGTGACCACAAGCAACCTGGACTTAAAACCACTCCAGGGTTGCTTGGCACAATTTCCGAGGGTTCTTGTCTCTCATTTCCTCAGCATTCCTCAAAGCAAAATGAATACCACTTCACCCCAGACTGCAACACTCTACAACCTAAAAACTCACTTCGAAAAAACGAAAGTACCTTCCATCCAGAAATTCAACAGCAATACCCGGCTTCCAATGACCACTGTCCGTCGGCCTTCGAGATTGCGGATGGCTGACACGCCATGGCTGGTTCCAACGGAAGAAATTACTAACTACAATACCCAAGGGCAGTGAAGATGTTTTTCGCGACGGAGGTAAGAAATAGCGGTCATGTCTTCCTCGTGACGGCTGACAGTAGACTCTGAATCATGAGCTTCGACAATCTAAGCAATCATTCACGTCAAGTTACGTCGTCACTAAACTTGAGTTACGCCCCGCGGCGGTGACCATCCATCGCCTTCGTTCACTCGTTAAAGCCCGCCTCGTGTTCACTACCATTTCCGCACTTGAGCCATAATTAAACAGAAGTTTTTTTTTTTTTGAATCGATCTAAATAACTTCTTTGTAATCTTGTATTAGATCATTCAATTGCAATTTGGAAACAACCTCTAAGCTCTACAATTTTTGCTTACGCATTCTCTTGTAATTGATTGACTGTTTTAGAGCTAAAGGTTGTGGACTTTTTTTTTTCTTTTTTTTTTTTTTTTTTTTTTTCCTTCCTCTTTTCTGTCGAATTCAACCAGATTTTAGTCTTGTACGCGAGGGTTTGGATGATCCTCGTGGAATGTTAGCTTTGGTGCTAATAATCTCAAACTCGAGGCATCGCCCCGGAACCGAAGGCACTGGAGCAACATCCTTCTTGATTCTCCCTATCCTTGCCTTTTGAACAGTCCCTCGTGCGGCCCAGGGATTTATTAGCATTTTCTCACAACTCGTTCGCGTGTGGGACCCTTACATTAGCTAGCAAAGCATGGTATGTCACCGCCATCGCAGAAATTTACTGAACTTTCGAGAGTTTTACGGGGGTTTGGAAGGGCTTGAGGATTGGGAGAACAGAACGGGATAGGTGATTTTTACAGTGCGTGTTTCTCTTTCTCTAAATTCAGGGGGGGATATTTAAAATGGAAACCAGTGTGAATCGCGGATTCGTCAACCTGTGGTCCCGGTGGACAGAGAAAAGAAGCGCAATTCAATCATGCGCTGGGGGATCACGTGCTTCACCCTTGGAGTCAAAGCAGGAGAATTTATTCGAAAGTTAATTTGGTGATCTTGGAAAGGGAGTCGGGAATTTCTGAGGCCATATTTTTCGGATTGTTTCACACTCTCGGATTTCATCGAGAGCGATACGGGTATTGGCGTCGTAGCTGTTCGCGTTGTGGATGGTGTGCGGGCAGTGCTGTTCGACTCTGTTTTGCAGGTGTGAATCTTTTGTCTGGAAGTTGTTTAAGAGGATTCTTAAGACGGTGTTTAGGTTTCTGAAGTTCTAACTAGTTGACTGCAATTCGGCGTTGAATTCCACTGTAGCTGCGTGCTAGTGAAGCTGTCGGTAGTTTCCTTCGATCAGGGTGGTCACCCAAATCAGCTTCGGTCGTATTCATTTGCAAAGTTGTTCGTAGTCGGAAAGTAGAGTGCGGAACTGCCAGAATAGTTGTCTCTTTTTCATTGCGTACAAGGAAGGTGACAGCAGCTTGAACCTTTTTCATGGATAGGGCAATTCCTCAATACTTGATTCAAGGACTTCTCGCGGTCAAGGGGTCTTTACTTACTTCAGTGCCGCCTTATTCCGCTGTGAGAGGATGATCTGCAAGCTTTTTACTCCAAAGAGGTTCGATTCCTTCGTTACTGTTTTGAAATTTCACCTTACGTGATGTGTGTCGTTGTAGAAGGTGCCAATAGAAGAGACAAGTCTGATCCCTAGGTTTGAATGCTATCGACAATCGGATTTGAGAATACCCCCTCTGTGATGCTCTTTTTCAGAATGTGTTCAATCCGCTTCAGATTTTTCCTGCTTATTACATTCTGCGCAGAAGTGTGTACATACTCAAGGGGCTCCATAATTCTGAACAATTTGTTTGTTTCTCATATTAGCTTCTCCCCGTGTGAATATCCTTGCGTATTGAGATACACAGAGATAGTTTCTTTGAATTGGTCACCACAATGCAGAAGCTCAGCTGGTGGATGCAATGCTTGGTTCTCCGGACACTGCCTGGGTCGCTTCTGCGGCGTGAAGGGTACCGGATTATTCAAGTATCAGGATCAGGTGTAGATGACAGAGAAGAGGCGATGCCTCTGCGACCGAATAGTCTACCGCTCCCCGCGGGTGGTACATTCAAATCCTGCTGGAGCGGAAACTTCTGCTCGGCGGGCACCCTGGCAATGACTGTGATTATCGTTCTGCTTATGCATTCATGCCTGGATTCCTGGCCAGCCTCCTCACATGTAAGACCTTTACCACGTGACTTTGTTCTTCGCGGATCATACGTGAAAGTGCAGGTAGATGTGTTGTCAAGCTCGTCATACGTAAGCGATGAGAACAGGAAGTGCTTTCATGCCGAGAGGCATGACACACTAACATCAGTCATCAGAAAATTGAAGTAATCTTCCATGTGGATAACATCTTCTTTCAATATGCGACTTCTCGCGGGTTTTTGTTTCCGTAAATCATAAATATATACCATTAAAAATTAGCCAAAATAGTATAATTGTGAGCGCGTCGGGGAAAGTACTGTATTTCGTTTTTATTTATTTATTTAACAGAAGCTGTAGTACGAGGAAACTATCGTTGAAAGTTTGTAGGTGATGAGTTGGATTGTTGAGTGCTTACTCTGAAATTTGCAATGTGTTTATTACAGAAGAAGAATTGGCAACAAATTTTTGTTGAGTCTATTGACAACAATAGCATCAGTAACCATTTGAAACAAATCACGAAGGAGCCTCATGTGGCAGGAACCTCAGAGAATTTCAAGACAGCTGATTATGTAGAGTCTAATTTCAAGACCTATGGTCTGAATGCGCATCACAAGGACTACAATGTGCTATTGACCTATCCATTGCATCGATCAGTGGTACTTACACAGCCGAATCACGAGCCGATTAAACTTTTGTTGAACGAGGAAGCTGTGGCTGGTGATCCATATAGCAACAATTCAAATATTATCCCAACCTTCCATGCATATGCTCCGTCAGGAAATGCGTCAGCTGAGGTCATATATGCAAACTATGGGGCACTGGAGGATTTTCAAAAACTAGCCCAGCTCGGTGTCAAGGTTGAAGGGGCGATCGTTATTGCGAAATATGGTATGATATATCGCGGGGATATTGTTGAGAATGCGGCACAAGCAGGAGCTGTTGCAGTTGTGATTTACTCTGATCCTTTGGACTATGGAAATAACGGCACTGAGGGCTATTATCCTGATTCGCAATGGTTACCCCCAAGCGGTGTACAACGGGGATCTGTATTTAGAGGAATTGGTGATCCCTTGACGCCTGGGTGGGCAAGCGAAACAGATGCTGAAAGACTATCCGTGGATGACCCTAGCGCTCAGATGCCTCGAATCCCGTCGTTGCCAATCTCTGCTGAAGATGCTCTTCCAATTTTAAGATCCTTGGAGGGTCCGGTAGCTCCAAGTGAGTGGCAAGGAGCGCTTAACTTATCTGAATACAAGTTGGGACGGGGCCCTGGGAGACTTGACATCTCATACGTGGTAAAGTAAACGCGTATTGGGTTAACACCGAACAGGTTGTTTTGACGACTGTTTTGACTTTACGACAGGACAATTAATAAGAGACTAACGAGAACGTTTTTTGCAATTAACGCTCTTCTTCACCTAAATTCTGCATCTACTATCGAACGTATGGCACTTAATGCGAACAATTTCTTTGCTTGAAATCTTCACCCTTCTTTTCGCATTTTGCAATCGGCATGCCGTTATTGAATATGGGTGGTTCCATCGGGACGGCTGTTGCGTGCAGGCTAATCAGACGGTTACTTCCATTCGAAATGTTTTTGCCACGATTAAAGGATCAAAGGAGCCTGACAGGTCCTGAATGTGCATAGCTCGCATCCTATCTTATGATACTTCGAGTACACATATATGAGCTGGGCTATTAATGTTGACTTGGTTTTTCCTTGATCCTTTATATCGGCTTTTACGGAGTCTGGCTAAGCTGCAAAGATTTTGCAGTGATTTTAGGGTTTTCCAATCATGTTGAAGGTATTTCTGCTTGTCCAGGTTGGTATTGCTTGGTAATCACCGCGACGCATGGACATTTGGAGCTGTGGACCCTAACAGCGGCACAGCAGCACTTTTAGAGGTATTGGATCAAATCCTTTAATCTGCCGCAGCTTTGATGTACCTAGTCGTGAGATGTCACGATTGCACATTCGATTCAAAGAGGCTTGAATTTCATCCTTTGGAATGTACACCTATACACGGGTATAGGTTGATAGTCCTTGCATTGCAAACCAGGACAAAGCAGTTTTGGTTTACCAGGAATGTAACATGTGTGCAGCTGGCTCGAGTAATTGGGAAACTTATGGAGGAAGGTTGGCGTCCTCACAGGAGCATTGTGTTGTGCAGCTGGGATGCTGAAGAATATGCCCTGGTCTGCATAATCCTACTCTTACTGGATACTGCTCTGTCCCGTCTATGTAAATCAATTGCCGTTTTGCTACTAATTTGAACTGGTATTCAACGTTGATGAAAGGAGAGATTGGAAGTGAATCGAGTCCTGACCATGATTAAAAGATGTTGACAGATAGGATCAACTGAATGGGTGGAGCAAAACATTGATATTCTCGGTGCGAGCGCGGTAGCATACTTGAATGTTGACTTCGGAGTAGCTGGACCTGGTTTTAATGCAGCAGCCTCTCCGCAACTTGATGAACTCCTAATAGAAATTACCAAGCAGGTTCGCTCAAAGGTTTTATGATCATTTAAACACATGTCTGTTTGCAGAGCTCAGCTCTGGGTGGGGAATCGAATAGCTTGCATTGGTGGATAGCACTCAATCAAGAGTTCAATAATCATTGTTGTTAGATGACTTGGCTTGTTATAGTATGTTTTCTTGCTACTCGAAAAGGCAGTAAGTCCAGTGTTCAAATTGGCTAGAAAGCCAGTATGTCAACATGGTATACCTCAATATGTTTAATATCTAAACTCCCCCAGATTTATCAACACATCATGTGTGGGTTTACCAGGTAACAGACCCAGATGACGTCAAACAGAGCTTGTACACGTCATGGGTGGCCTCAAGCAATAAAACAACGCCTACTGTACGTCAATTTGGACCGACCCTGTTCTAGTTTCCTAGAAATGATTTAGTTTTCCTAGTTCACTTTCTGTAAATTTTGATATATGGTTGTTGTGGTGGTGTTGAAATGTATGTTGTGCGGAACAAGAAAAAATTACGATTTTACTACCAGCTTGAGAACTTCCGATGTCCACTACTACTGTCTTAGGGCCCTTTTGCTCTAGTTTCCTTCTTTGTTACTTTCCATAGTTAGGAGCTTGCGCAGAATCAAAGCAGTTTGCTCTGATAGCTTGCGTTTAGAAATATTGCTGTTAGATTCCTCTTCCTAATCTAAAGACTAACAAGAAGATGTGTGGTTCAGATTGATAGGTTAGGTGGGGGGGGATCAGACTATGCCGCCTTTCTACAACATGCAGGCGTGCCATCGATGGATATCTCCTTTGGTGCCGGTTAGTAGCCTGAGTTTGAATCGTAGTTTTATGACATATCTCAATGTATTTTGAATGATCATGAGTGCCAAGTTGCAGTGTAATCTTACCTTCTTGGTATCTATGGTCCTTAATCCGTGTCGAATAAATGTGCAGATTATTCTGTGTACCATAGTACCTTTGATAACTATAATTGGATGGCCAAGTTTGGCGATCCTTTGTTTCGTCGTCATGTTTCTGGTAAGAGCTTTCTCTATAATACATTTGGTATGTATACAAGATTATCAGGAACTCGTTTGATACAATATCTGCTAACATTATGCTCATTGATTCACCTTTACTGAAGGGTTTACGAAGCTAAGGTTTGAAACCTGGCTTGCTATTTTCATTGTACAGTGACCAGTGTGTGGGGCTTATTAGCCTTGAGGCTTGCGGATGACAAAGTCCTGCCTATGAAGTATGAAAAATATGCAAGCGAACTTTATTCATATGCCCTTGCAATAAATTCAGGGCTATCATCATCGGAGGCTCCTAAAAGTATCACTGTTGCCCCTCTTTTCTCGGCTATCAAGGACCTGCATCTTTCGACTTATCAACTGACAGATGAACTGAACGTAATGTTTCATTTGTGCATTAATTTTGAGATCCAACAGTATGCTGTGATGAATGATTTATTAAGGTTGTAAAGTTTGATTAGAATAGTTGTAACGATTGGTACCCATTTTTGTTCTCAACTTATAATATTACTCTCTGTAGATCTTGGAGCAAGAAGGGCTGGAAAAGCTGTCGGAATTGTCTTCGGATCTTTTGTACAGCCGACGTGAACTCAACGATCGTTTGCTTCGGGCAGAGCGTGCATTTCTCGACAGTGACGGAATACCTGGAGCGTCTTGGTACAAACATCTGGTGATACTTCTTACTTGGAACCCAAGTTAATTTTAATTTGAACGGAGTGCTTGAAACACTTACATTGAAATATTTCACAACTCTTTATGTAGGCAATAAGATATCTACCCAAAAAATCCATTAAAGCATTAGTTTCCAATTGGATTTTCCACGTGAAGTTTGCATCTTACAGGTCGTGTTTTTTGAATTTAGGTTTATGGACCTGTTCCAAACGACAACTACGGATCACTTTCATTCCCAGCTATCTGGGGTACTATTCACGAGGCCACAGGTAATGGCAACAGTGCTTTGAACGCAACGAAATGGGCGGCAGTGCAGCATGAAGTGTATCGCAGTGCACGGGTCACAAGGAGGGCATCACTTGTACTACGAGGCAAGCTTACATGATTACGGTGTCCAAAACCTGTTTTTAGGCATAGTGTGCACAATGGAGGTCTTAACTTTTAAATGTTTTGATTGGTTGAAATTAAGAAGCTTTCTTGAGTTTGCTTTATATTTCAAAAAACAAGTCTAAATAAGTAAAAAAAATAAAATGTGGTGGAATTTATTTTTTTCCTACATAGCATGAATGGTGTTTGTTTCTAAAAAACTTATTGTATTCATCTCAAACAAGTGTTTGTTAGAAAATTTGAGAAGCTATGCTAAAAATACATTAAAAATAATCATTAGAAAAAAATTGAATTGATAAGTAGACACCTCTCTTCTACTACTACTATAGAGACACCCCTCTTGTACCATATATTCTTACAATCATTCATAAAAATTATTATTTTTACTAAAATATTCTTTAAATAAAATTAATGTTTTTTTTAAGTGAATGAAATAATTACATGCAATGTCATATGAAATTTTGTTCAATTTTTAAGATAAATAAATAATAAAAAATGTTTTTTTTTCTAAGCCATTATACACAAATCTTTTATTACAAATTTATCTTGAGATTTTTTAGTATAAATAAGATTTTTATTATGTGTATGCAAGGGTGTATATCTACCTAGTAATATCTTTAAAATTAAATAAAATTAAAAAGAAAAAAATCTAGTTTTTTTAAACTTCTCATATAATTGTTTGAATGAAGATATGAGTTGATATACTTAAACTTGTAACAAAATAATGATTTGATCTATTTTATGGATTTTTTCACTTTCTATTATATCCATCCATGAGTGAAGGCTTTTTCAAGAGTTTATTTTATTTTTATTTTTATTTTATTTTTATCAATCAAGGGATCTTAATAAGGCTTTTGAACTTTGGCCTTTTAAAGTGGGCTTTTAAATATAAAGTGCCTCTAAAATTCAACTTTATATCATGAATTAATATTGGCTCTAGATCTAATGTCAATTGAACTTAAAAACACCAAAATTCAAATATAAAAATGAATAAAAAAGACTTAAAAAAGCATAAAAGATACTAAATATTAGAAGGTAAAATAAAGTTTAAGATGTGATTTTGAAAATGCTTTGATTAAAATTAATTATAAGAAAGATGTGTAGATCAATATTAGAAATTTGTATTAATGTAAATAGTAATAATTTTTATAGATGACAAGAGCATTACTACTAAATATAGATTTTATTGAAATAAACATATAGAATTATAACTTGTTAATATTACAACTTATTTTTGAACATAAAAATTATACCTCATGTGTATTATTTGATACCATACTATTTTCAATAGAAAAATTTAATTTTGAATATTTTATAATATTAATTGATAAATAGCATTAAAAGAATATATAAAATTTAAGAAAATATTATAATTATTTAATATAAATAATTATTTCTAAAAACACATTTAGCTAATATAAAATATTTGGATTTTAAAAACTTTATCATGTTCTTAGAAATACTCAACAAATAAGAAAAATGAATATAATCATTGCACCAAGTTATAATATGTGAAAGTTATTTATAACAAAACTTTAACATTGGCATATTATAGCATAACTTTTAGACATTTCATAGTTAGTTATATGAGAAGAAATAAGATATTATGGTTTATGTATTATTTATTAATTTGTTTTTGAAGTCTATATTATTCTTCTATTGTAAAATATTAAGAAATTTCTAAAGTATATTTATATTCTTATAATATGTTAATATATAAGTTTTTTCAAAACTTATACAATATTATATATGATAGATTTATAGTTTCAAATACTATAAGCTACCGTTCTTTAATCATTCACTTCATGTATATATATTATTACATTACTTTTTAGTTTTAAAGCTATAAAAACTAAAAATTTAGGCCCTTCTATTAATTTTGAATTTTAAAGAGTCAAGTTATTTTTATTTTTTAATTAGAAATAATTTTTTGAGGTTAATAATTTCTAAGTTCTATATTTTTCTTTTTATTTATTTATTTATTTATTTATATTTTAGTTCAATATTTACATATACACTTTTGAAGTGTTGTTTGACTTATTAATATTATTTAAAACTATTAGAAAAAATCAAATATTCTAAAATAAAATCAAACTAATTAGAAATATGAATTAGAAAATATTAAATATAAAAATTACATAAATAATAGAGCTTTAATCGTATCTAATAGAATTCAAATCTACTATCAATCAGATCAAAAAATAAAATAAAAATACATAATTATTTTTGTAATATACTTGATACTAATTTTTTATTTTTAAATGTAAACTTAATATTTAAATTCTTTATATGATAAATAATATTATAATATTATTAAATAAAATTATAAAAAATATCTCATTAATATTAATTTAAATTTAAATTTAAAATATTAGATAATAACTAAAAGATTATTATGTTTTTATATTTGACACATGATATATAAAAAAATTAATTTTGAAATATATATATATATATATATATAAAAATATTAATCCTATTTTTTATTAAAATCTAAAAATTTATATATTTAAAATCAATATTTTATATTCAAAATTAGATTGAATAAATTTTTTTATTATTATAAATAAAAATAGTTTAGGTATCAATTTTTTTTAATAAATTGACTTCTAATATATATATATATATATATATATATATATATAATAGATTTTATTCTTTGTGCTATATTAAATTAGTTCACAAGGTATTATTGATAAATTATTTATATCATTATATAAAAGATTATTTAAAGATTAAAATATATATAATATTCAACATATAAATATAATTAGAAAAATATTAAATTGATCCCACTAATTGTTATTTTGATCCACCCATCATCAAAATAGATAGGTCCTTAATTCTCTATTCCAATCTCTTTGTCATGCTCTTGATCCTTGTTCCTTGTCTTTTCTATGCATGTGTCATAGACATATACATTTATTCCAATAGTTACTTATATGATTGAGTAGAATTAGGTAAATATAGATTAATTTCATAAAGTCTTTTTGCAAAGCTTCCTAAAATCTTTATAGATGACGTTTTGATTTTAGATGTATTTGTAAGTTAGAAACTTAGCCAACAAATTAACTTTGTATAGTAGCTTGTGGAATAAGCTAAGTATGTGGCACATACATAGATAACTTACTTTCTAACTTAAGATATGTGGCTAGCAAAGTCAACACATATTGGAGGTCTTATAGAATATTGCCACATAGCTCTTAATTAGAGAGTATATATGGAAGCAAGAACAAAGCCTTCTTCACTCTTATCAGTGCCTTTTTAGTCCTTAGTCTTGTTTAAAGACTTTCTAGTCTTCTTATTTTTGACAATAGCTATTTTAGTTCAATATTATATCATCTTTGAGTGACTTTTTAGTTCTTTTCAATGATATAAGAATGTATTAAGGATTTTCTTTTTTTAAGATTCATATCCTTGACAATTTGACAAGAGTGCTAAATTATTATTTTTATCTTGTTTTAGAAGTAAGTGGATTATCTCACTTGTATTATTGTATTTTGAAGGTTACGGGCTAGTTATTTTTAAAGAAAGAATTTTATTTTCTATTATTGATTTTTTCCTTAAAAGAGAGTGGATTATCCCTCTTCATGTAAATTTTTATTTGATATTAGATGTTGGAGATTACTTTACTCCAAATAAACTTTTTGAATTTTTTTGAATTATCTATGGAAGAAAAGTTTATTGATACTACTCTCAATAGTAGTGAGAATAGATTTACAACTATTGCAGATCTTTACAAGCTTATCAATATTGTAAGAGTAGAAATTTTACGTATTTCCAATGTGAATCACGGAGGTATAATTTCTATGCCTATGAAAGAAGTTTAAAATCTATATCAAGAAGTTGTACAGTTGAAGGAAGCAAGTAGATCAACTTCACAACCAAATCCAGGAAGTTTTGTTTCTATAAGTATGACAATAATCAAGATTAGTATGCCCAAGAAGTTTGATGGAACAAGATCGAAATTTTGAGGATTTTTGCAAGAAGTTAAGCTCTATTTAAGGTTATATCCCTTCGAATATCCTGATGGATTTATCTAAATTGGATTTTTAGGCACAATTTTATTTGGAAGTACTCTTTCTTGGTTTGTAACTTTGGTAGAAAAAGATTCATAACTTCTTTATGATTTGAATTAATTTCTAGAAGTATTTATGGCCATATTTGGAGAAAGTGATTGAAAAAGAGTAGCAAAGATCAAGCTCTTATCTTTACAATAAAGATCATGGTCAGCTACTATATATGTTGCTAAATTCCAAAACCTTGCTTGTGATATGGATTGTAATGATAAAGCCTTTATCAATCAATTTTGGTATAGGTTGAACGACAACGTCAAAGATTTGTTATTGTCAATACTAAACGGAAAATCTTTAGAAAAATTTATTGCTCAAGCCATTGCATGCAACAATAGATTATTTGAAAGACATCAAGAACAAAGACTTGATTGAAGAGAAAAAAATCAAGTAATGATGGCAACTCCTAAGTTTTTTGAAACTTAGTTATGATGGCCAAAACTAATAAAAATTGATATGGTATATTTTAAACTCCTCATAGAGTAAAAAAAAACTTGACGTTGTTAAGATGGACTTTACTCATATTGTAGAGAAGCTAGGCACACTACTCAATATTATCCAAAAAAATAATGCAATTATAAAATGAGAAGTATGATTGCCAAAGAAGACAATGTGTCAAAAAACGAGTTGCTCTAGTTATAATAGGGACCGTGAGGCTGGAATCATATGCAACATCTAGCAAAGGTCATATTCTCTCCTTAGATCCCTTACTTTATTTTACAATAGAAATCTATTTAGGACCAAAAAATCACAAAGTCTTAGCCTTATTAATTTCAAGAGCCTCAGCATGTTTTTATAGATGAAGAATTTGTCAAAAAATAAGATATATTTTTAATTAAAAAAATCAAATTTGTGCAAGTAGAATTAATAGATGGACATTCATTGTCTTTTGAAGATATTACATATAAAACTATTCTTGTAGAAGTAGCAATCAGTGGTTATAATAATTTAATAATATATAATATGATTAAATTTCTTTTTAATCTAATTATTTTAGGATTATCATTGTTAGAAAGATATAATCCTAAGATAGATTAGATTACTTGCAATCTTCATTTTTTTTCATAGTTTAGCTCAAGGTCCTACTAAGCAAGTA